CCTCACCTGTTGCCAACCTACCATTAGGTACAGATGGGAATTTCTCAGCACCACCAGTTCCTCTCCAGTAAAATCCCAGTATATGGAGTTTTACTCAGCACCCTTTCCACGTTTATGAGAAATTCAGCTAAAATCGAGTTCAAGTTGTGGTTGGGGGGGGTGGGGGGTATCAAACATGACACAGCTGTTAAAGTTGCATTCCATCCAAAATCAATCTGCCGTCTCTGGGGGGGGACCCAGCAAATCTGCTGGCGATTGAGTTAGTAAATGGAGCTTCAGGGCTGAGAATTTGCTTCCCAAAGTTAAGATGTGGACAGCGGCATTTATTATCTCTTTCTTCCCTATCTCGTCGCCATCCTTTCAGATTTACTTCGGGCCTCAGTCTCCAGACCCATTCTCAGCCATTCCTGCACAGCTGTCACGGACATGACCTTCAGCGGTGGGGAGGGACGTCTCTAGCATCACAGAGTAGCTTCTGGTTTGAGGAAACGCGGGCACCATTGTATTCATTGTGGCCACAGCCCCCACAGGCACTCCCAGGACAATTTGTCCATTTTTCTCCACTCTTTTCACAGTGAAAGGCCACCACACTTAGCAGACTAGGGACGCACTGTCCAACGGGAGCAGAAACCTGACACTGTATTTGCCCACAGCCCCACACTGTGCCTCTGCAGACGGGCACACATCATGTTCAGGTGCATGGCCGTACCTTGTTTGTTTGTTTCCCGAATCTATATTTTCTTTGCACCAAGGGAAATGTTAGTGTCTTTGATTCTGAGAATAATTTAGTTGTTCATTCAGCAAATACTTGCATGTCTACCATGTGCCTGGCCCTGTTCTCTGGGCACTGGGGACAAAATGAACAGCAAAAGTCCCTGCCCTAGAGAGCTTACACGCCGGTGGTGGAGGGCACACCGGAAGGGTAGGATGAGTGAATTAGGAGATAGCTCGTGGAGCCTAGGAGGAAGAGAATGCATTTGGAGGAAGACGGCCTGGGTTCGAGCCCCAGTTCTGCCCTCATCCCTGCATGAGCAGACACGTCAGCCCCTCTGCACCTCAGTTTCCCTATCTGTGAAGTGGTGATGGCAGTGCTACTGTGAGGAATCAACAAGTTCATATAGCTGACCTTTGAACAGCTCAGGAGTTGGGGCATGGACTCCCACGCAGTTGAAAAATCCACGGATAACTTTTGTCTCCCCCCAAACTTAACTAATAGCCTACTGATGACATAAACAGTGGATCAACACATATTAATACTTTGTAGGTTATATGTATTATCTAATGTGAAGTAAGCTAGAGAAGAGAAAATGTTATTAAGAAAATTATGAGGAAGGGAAAATACATTCACAGAATTGCACTTTATTAAATAAAAAAACTCTTAAGTGGACTTGCGCAGTTCAAACCCATGCGGTTCAAGGGCCTACTGAGTATATGAGGCGTCGAGTCCCTGGCACGGAGATGCAGTTAGATGCCCGCCACTACTGTTACTGTGCTAGAAGGTGTGGGTGTGATGGGATCAAAGGGAGGGAGGGAACGTGGTGCCGGTGGGCGCCTGGGGGCTGCAAAGCGGGGCCAGGGTTGGCTTCATTGAGACGTGCCCGCTGAGTAAAGCCTGGGAGGAGGTGATGTCGTATGTGCCACACAGGTGTCCACATAGGCAGAAGCAGCCGGAGGAAAGGCCCCAGTTGAGAGCATCAGGAGTGTTCGTGGAAGAGCATGGCGGTCAGGGGACAGGTGAGGGACTTGCCAGCCATGTAAGGACTTGGGCTGTTACACAGAGAGACACCCAAAGCCTTGGGAGGGCAGAGGACTGGCAAGCTCTGACCTGTACACTATAGGGTCGCGGTGGCCGCCGGTTGGGAGTGACCATGGGAGGACATGGGGAGACTGGTTGGAAAGGTGGGACAGGACCATGTCATTGACCACCTTGGTCCTCGTGGAGGTGATAAGAAGTGGGCAGGAGCCCAACAGAACCTGAAAATAGAGCCAGCGCAATTTCCTGATGGTCTGGACATGGGGCATGGAGGGGGGGCGTTACCCATGGCTCCCAGCTGTTTGGCCGGAGCCGACATGAGGGAGCCCCACTGACTGACATGGCGCCGTCCATGGGGGCAGCAGGCTGGTGGAGTTCCGCTCTGGGCACATCAGACTAGAGGTGGTGTGTTCGTTTCCTGGGGCTGCTGTAACAGATACTGCAAACTGGGTGGTCTACGGCAATAGAAATTCATTCTCACGGTTCTGGAGGCTAGAAATCTGAAACCAAGGTGTCAGCAGGGCCATGGTCCCTCCAAGACTCTGGGGAGAGGCCTTTCTCGTCTCTTCCCACTTTCCGGTGGTTGCTGTCAGGCCTTGGCGTTCCTTGGCTTGCATCTACGTCTTTCCAGTCTCTCCCTGGGTTGTCTGTCCCATGACGTTCTCTGCATGTCTGCGTCTTCACATGGCATTTTCCTCTTCTAAGGATGCCAGTCGTATTGGATTGGGGCTCACCCTAATGACCTCATCTTAACTAATTCCATCTGCAAAGACCCTATTTCCAAAAAAGGTCACATTTGGTACTGGGGTATAGGGCTTCGATGTGTCTATTTGGGGGACACAGTTTGACCCCTGACAGACAGCCATTAGACATGCAGGGGAGGTGATGAGTCAGTACAGCCTCCAGCTCCGGGAGGAGGCCCAGGTCGGAGATGAGCTTTGGGAGTCCTTAGCACTCGGACGGCCTGTGAAGCAGTGCCACTCAGTGACGTCACTGTGGAGCCCAGAAGTGGGTCTAGAGCTGAATGCCGGGGAGCCCCACGCTGGCGAGATGAGAAGCACCCAGACAGGAGACGAAGCTGGGAGGTTGGAAACGTAGCGGGGTGTAGTGTCCTAGAATCCAAAGCGAGGGGTGTATTGGGTTGTCAGAAAAGTCATGACGCATTTTTGCAATGAAAAACATAGAAAAATACATCATGACTTTTCTGACAACCCAATATTTCCAGAAGGAAGGAGTGAGTGACTTGGGTCAGAGTCTGCTGATGGATCACGTAAGAGGATGACCAAAGACACTGGATTTAGCAAAACTGAGGGTATTAACCAAAGCAGCCACATAATCACTGAGGTAATCCTAGGGAAAAGCTTACCTATTTTGATTTCCTTGTCTACAGTTTTTTTTTCAACTTACTTTTCAACCTTTGGGGTTATATCTACATATTCTTTGTTTATTTCTAAAACATATTTTGTTATTCTGTAAGCATTTGGCTGTATGTCTGGTCTTGGGATAGAGGCTAGGCATAAAAAGATAGATAATATATGCTTCCTACCCTTGGATATCAGTGTTTCCTGGGGAAGATGGGTGAAACCATTTAAATACAGTGCAACTAAAGACAGTCCGAGGAATATAATCAATAATGTTGGAAGTATTTCTTAGGGGGCCAGATGGACCCATGTCCTTTTGGGGAGTCCACTTCATAGTTGATGTAGAGGCCTGACCACCGCATTGTATTTCTGAAACTGATGCTGAATAATACTGTATGTCAACTATAATTATATATACATATAACCTCGGGACATGGAGTAGAGTTTCAATGGAATTGTAATAGATAAGCATGATATCGGGGGGTGGGAGGGCAATAGATGGGGGGAGGGGGGTTGTTACCTGGTGAGGGTGAAAAGGGTAACTATTGCATTGTTCTGTACACCTGAAACTAACAATAAATAAAAATTAAAAAAAATAAAATAAATAAATAAATAAATACAGTGCAACTGCTCAATACCACTGGTGACCAGGGAACTGCAAAGCAAACCCACACTGAGATGCCATCCCATATGCACTGGAATGGCCATAATAAGTGACCAACAACACCCAATTTGGGGATGACATGGAGCAAATGAAGCAAATGGACCATGAATCCATCGCTTGTGGGGTGTAACGTGCTGCATCTACTGGAGGGCTGTTCAACACTTTAAAAAAAAAACAATAAAAACCCACCTGCCCTGTGACCCAACAAGTTTCACTCCTAGGTCTTTACCCAACAGAAATGGAAGCATGTCCTCAAAATGACTTACGCAGGAATATCCGTAGCCGCTTTGTTCAATATAGCCTGAAACAGGAAACAACCCCAAATGCCCATCGTGAGGAAAATAGATGCGTTGTGATAGATCCATGCAAAGAAATCCTGCTCAACAAGAAAAAAGTACTGCAACACACACAACAGTGTCAGAAAATCTGAAAACCGTGCCGAGCACAAGAAACCAGACTCAATGAAAGACCCACACAATGACCTTCATGTGACATCCTTTGTGTGACATCCAGGCACTGGAGGAACCAACCCATGGCCACAGAAGTCCCAAATGGTTGCCTCTGGAGAAGAGGAGGGGTTGACTGGCAAGGGTCATAAAGGGAACTTTGGGGAATAAATAGATAGTTCTGTGTCTTGGTTTGGGTGCATATCCTATATAAACTCATCAGTGTGAAAATCTAAGAACTTGCACTTTTATTATATGGAAATTATGCCTCATGAAAACTAAAAAATGATACTTGTGACAGGTATTCCCAGGTGCTATGCAGCAGAGATGAGGAAATACCAACTTCCAGGAGGAGGCTGGGCGGGGAGGTCCCACTGGATCGGGGTTTCCAAGTGAGGTTGGAAAGGCAGGCAGAGGTGACCCCAGCCAGGTGACAAACCCGGACAGCAGCCCAGGGTGAGAAAGTGCTCCACCTGGCTAATAATTACCAATGGCTTAAAAGGCAACCCCAGTGAGTTCACTGAATTTGTTTTCTTTAAGGCTTGCCATGTATTGGAAGCGAAACAGTTTTCCCTCACCCCACACCCCAGCCCGCAAGCTTCCTAGTGGACTGTGTTCAGATGTCAATTTTATAACAGCTTTAAAATTTTTTCTAACCGATGTTTTTTCCAAGTAGCAAATTCTTCTTAGTACTTAGTGTTTAGAAGAATTATTCAAGAACGTTGCCTTATTCAAGTAACCTAATGGTTTCTCTTATTTCCCCTTAAAAATAAAAGCTGCAGATTCTCGTGGACACCGGGAGCAGCAACTTCGCCGTGGCTGGTGCCCCGCATTCTTACATAGACTCTTACTTCGACACGGAGAGGTGAGTGAGGGGTCCTTGGCTGGGTGTGGCCAGGTTTGGGGGCACCACAGGAACGCTTCAGAATACTCTAGAGCAGCGGTTCTCAACCTTTCACAGGGGTTGCCTAAGACCATCAGAAAACATATATTTTCGATGGTCTTAAGAACCAAGACACCGCTCCTCTATCCGTCTCCAGGCCCACATGCAGATACGCCACATCCGAGTACCCGGCGACCCCTGCGAAAGGGTCGTTCGACCCCCAAAGGGGTCGCGAACCACAAGTTGAGAACCGCTGCTCTAGAGCAACACAGCCAAAGAGTCTGTTCCATTTTAAGGGGGAAACGTGCACGTGGGTGTATTCATGTGTATTGTATTCATATGTATGTGTGTGTGTTCATTCCGGGAGAAGCCATAGGACATTCTCCTAATACTGTCTGTGCATTCTTATGAGATTTGCTTTATAAAAATGCAAGTCAGAGAGCGGTTTTGTCGCTACACCGGAGCTGCCGGGAGCGTGTGACGTTTATCGCGTCCCCTTGTCGTGCTAAAGCGGAGGTGGGTTCGAGCGGGCAGGGGCGCTGGACGTGAGTATGCGACTGTCTGGGCAGGGGCCTGGGTTGCTTGAAAAGCCACCTTTGCATTGCCTCATAGTTCAGTAGGAGTTAAGGTGTGGTTCATGGAAGCCATTTCTGTGCAGAGAGGTGTTTCTGGGTGAGAGAAATCCGTGACTTGTAGAAAGGGTCAGTGTTGTGAGCACAAAGCATTCAGGCTCCCAGCTAGCAGGTGTGGGTGGGGTTGTGAGAAGAGTGGAGCCAGGTGGAGGTCTCTGCGTGGTCCGGGCCCTGGGAGGAGCCCTGGGTGGGACAGGGACAGCCAGCAGGGCCTCCCGTCAGCGCTCAGCTCCAGAGGAGGCAGTGAGGGGGGTTGGGGAGGTGACACTGTAATGGGTACACACTTTGATTTCATTTCTATCTTTGTGACCCTAAAATTGAAACTCAACAGATCAAATAAGTGGGCTGACATGTGGCTGTTGAATAACGTCGGGGACTGTGCACAGATTCCGAAGTGCCACATCATTGCTCTGCTGTCAGCCCTCTTCATGGCTTCCTTTCTCACTTTCCTCGTCCATAGGCTTTTGTTCCAGGGACTAAATCCCAACTTACCTGGGGGGAACAAAGGAGGGAACAGGTTCTGAGAGTCCCGATGCCTTGCCGGGCATGAGCAGTGTGCCCATCCACCTTCTCCCAGTACCACACCTTGGTCTCCGATTTGGTGGCACAAAGAGGTATGGTCTCCAGTATGTGAGGTGGAGGGGAGTGTTGGCTGGGGCTTTACGGGGCCTCAGGGGGCTACAGAGATATCTGACTGGCTCCTCCTTCAAGGAACCTATAGCTTAGGTCGCGGCTCAGTGTACTGATCACCTTTCATCGTTGATATTCCAGGATTAAACTCCTGGACAGTGATTGCTTTGTGGTGGAGACTAATAGGTGCCCTGAGGTTGCGGCTGTAACCACAGTAGGAGTGACCTGGCAGAGGGCTATTTCTCTGTGTGTGCACGTGAGGGGGCTTATGATGCCCCAGCTACCCTCTACCCTTTCGCAAAGGTGGTTCGTCCAAATCCTCTGCCTCAAACCAATTCCTACCTCCCTTACTCTGAATGCTTCATCACGGAACGGAATATCCAGTTGGCCCAAACCTCTCATTTTTACTCGTGTAACACAGGAGGTCCAGAGGCCAAGACGCCTGCCCACGGTCAAACCTTCAGTCCTGGCACCCCCTTTTTTATACCCAGTGATTTGTGATGCTCTGAAATGAAATGCAGAGATAATGTAGCTTACCTGTACATGTAATTCTATTGCTCAGATGTAGTGTAGTGGGGAATATAAGAAGGTGATCAGTGCCTCAATACAGAAACACTCTGGTTAGATTGCAGTAGGAGCCACGTTGGGGACGTCCGAGCCTGTAGGCCTCGGACAGGCATGACATGCAGCACCCAGTGTAAATGGATCAAAGCAGATTGAAGTAGAATCAGACACCCAAAGCAGCTTGGGTTGTTGACGTGATTCTACAAATTGATGAAGAATCTTGTTAAAGCTCCCCCCGCCAAAGTATCGCCTTTTCTCGATTCACATAGCAGTTGCACTCCTGGCAAACTCAATGTATTTTAAAACTATGTAAGAAATCTTTATCTTCCTGGCAAAGCAGTTCTCGCCCTACGTCAGCGGTTCTCAACCTTCGTAATGCCGCGACCCCTTAATACAGTTCCTCATGTTGTGACCCCCAACCATAAAATGATTTTTGTTGCTCCTCTATAACTGTAATTTTGCTACTGTTATGAATCGTAATGTAAATATCTTTTGTTTTCCGATGGTCTTAGGCGACCCCTGTAAAAGGGTCGTTCGACCCCCAAAGGGGTCGCGACCCACAGGTTGAGAACCGCTACCCCACGTCTGTCCTGCTGCCGGGCTCTGGTCTGTACCCTGATTCCCCACACCCACCACGCAGCACATAACAGCTGACAGCTCCGTTACATTGTAGCAGCCTTCCTCCCGCATAGTCATTTTGTTTTCTGTCCAACGTCTGTAGACACGTGGTACAGTAGAAAATAACAGTACAGCGCAGCAAAGCTGAGGTTAAGGTGACGTGTATAGTTACTATCCGGGTTTCCATGTTCAAATGTAACACTGTGGATGGTTACTTCTTTCCCAGTAGTGACCTGGTAGTTCTTTGGCATAGCTTGGGTTTAATGAAGGTCAAAGTGCACTTTCAGCCCAGTCACTGTGTGACCGTGCAGATACAATCATGGAACATTCCAGGGTAAATCATAGTCAACATTACAAATCCTGTGTACAGTGCCATTTAATACGTGTACGATAGTTAACTGACTACAGACGGCCAGACGTCTTTCTCATTTCACTTCTACTTTGTTCATCGTTTGGCTGAACCAGGTTCTCTCTCAGGCTTCAGCAGGACACGTCTTTTCACTTACCTGCCAACCTCGCTAGCCAGGTTTGTGTTCAGGTGGCAGATGGTCCTGTTTTTCATACTGAGAGACTCAGTTTCTCTGGCTTCTTTGCATGAGATTTCATGTGGATACTGGAAGACGTCCGTAGTGCCCATGATGGCTATGCCTTCCCTCCTGCTAGCCCAGGGGTCGGCAAACTGCGGCTCGCGAGCCACATGCGGCTCTTCGGGTCCGTTCCGTCTCAAAAGTTTGCCGACCCCTGGAAGAGCCAATCCTGTCCCTCACAACAATTTAAAAACTATTCGAGAGCCATAAATATATTTGAACATAATCGCCGTTATGTGAATAATATCCTTTAAAAATTCTATAAATGAAACTATGATCGTTTTATTTTCATTTTCAATTTTTCTTCAGTTTGCTGACCCCTCGTGGCTCTTCCATCTCAAAAGTTTGCCGACCCCTGTGCTGGCCCCATGAGAGAATTTCGGGCTCTCTCCCAGCTTTCTGAGCACTCAAGGTTCTCATCTATTTCTCCTTCCGAGGGCGAGTAAAAGGAGAAGAACAGAACCCAGAAAAGTGCAGGGGAATCTCTGCACTTCTCCTGCGTTGTCAGTGTCACCCATTGGCACTTAATGCCATTCAGACTTCAGCCCGACTTCCTCAGTCGCAAGTGTTGCTAAAATTTTCTTCGTACCTATAAAACATGACTCACAGGTCAGGCCTCTAGATCTGATACTGCCTTTCTTGTCAAGAGAACCATTCTTCAACAGGCAGGGCGAGTGGGTTTCTTCTTAGCTGAGTCCGACTGAGGCATCACTTCTGAGTTTCAGGCAGTTCAGTTCCATCAGCTGCACCCCTCCCACCGTGCCTAGATAGATCCACACAACCTGCTTTTGTCTCCCTTTCTCTGTTTTTCCCCACGCTTCTCATAGGCTTCTATTAACACAGATTTATTATTGAGAAGGTCTAAACTATGGACATAATGTACTGTCTAGGTAAATGATGTGCGATTAATTCGTCTAATGCTTTCCCCTAACTTTGGAGTCGGCCTAAGGCACGCTTTCCACTATTGCATTTGATGGGAGCCAAGTCACACTTCCTTTCTCAATTTTTCACAAAGGTTTTTTGGGTTTTTTTTCTGAGACGCAGCTCCCTGGCCTCTGATAGTTCTGTATTTGCTTGTCCCTCTGATCTCCCTTAGTTTCAATGAGGTTTCTGGTTGGGTTCGCTAGGCTCTGATTCAAGTCCCCCAGACTTTGGGTGTTCAGGTCTAACGCTTCCTGAAACATTTTCCAGTAATTGGAGATCTGGCGTGGGGTTTCTTTGACAAGAACTGTTTGATTTATGGAATGAGACGTCAGGCTACCATTAGTCATTTGTGTAGCTTGTTCCCATCAGAAGCCCGCTTTTCATGACGGCGCGAGTGCCAATGAATTACTATATAGCACAAAGAAGGTGGTGTGTTTGAAAAGATATGCCTCCTTTTCGGCCAATAAAATAGCCTCTAACCAGTCGGCTTGATGAGAGACCCAGCAGACTCATCCCTCTGACCTACTAATGTATTCAGGAAATTAAGTCATTTCCATTAAAATGTCTCCTCTGGCGCTGCAGCTGGGTGAAGCCCACGGAGCAGATGTGAGCAGAGAGCAGGTTCGTTTCCTCAGCCGAGCTTGTGCGTGAACTTGAGATGTGAGAGAGGTACCCAGCGGCCTCCTTAAGGAAGCTGAACCGCACCCCAAGACTGAGTGCCTCATCTCTCCATGTGACAATGACATACATTTTTGCCTGATTGCCTGCATAGGTTTTTGAGCCTGCCCGTCTTGTGCATATCCAGGAGAGGATTTGCCTTGTTGCACCCACCAGCAGGGGCCGTGGTTGAGGATGTCGCTGCACCGCCAGGTGGCGCAGGCTGACTGAGCAGCCCCTGGGCCGTCGGTGGCCCCATCCACTCTGGTCTGTCACTTCCAGAACCGTGGAAGCGTAAGAGGGGTATCTGGTCCCCTGAGCCAGGCCAACAACCCCGAAAAATCAGAAATGTGCAGAAGCGCCCGAGGGAGGTCTCGGCAGAGCCCTTAGGACCCTCCCTGGGTGTGATGACCCAAGGATTCCGCTCCTTGGACTTCCGCCCTTCCCCCTTCGCTTTCCTGTTCTCTGAAAACAATGGCGGGTTTCTTTTACAATAATAAAATGCTCTGCGGCTCTCTCCTCCTCAGTTCAATTGATTTCACTTTTCAATCCCGCGTTCCCTGAACACACTTATCAGAGGCAGAGCGTCTCCTGAATTGGGTTCAAAGCGATGTTATTGCTGTGAGCAGACTTTTTCCTGGCTACCCACACCCTTGAGTGATTGTTATTCCTGAGCACATAGAAGGGCGTCTTCAAAGGAGAAGCCAACCTGGGGTTCTCTCTCGCTTTAGTTAATTAGCATGCGCAAGCGCAACGATGGAGAGCTAAGGCCTTGGAGCGCCCCGCCCCGAGGTAGGATGCCGGACGTTGATAACGCTTGGAGCTGCTTGCAGCTCCTGCCTGGGACTTCTGCTGTCTGAGGCTCCATTTCAGGATCCCAGGGACTCTGAGTTTAGGATTCCCTTTTCTCACGGAACCTAGGGCTGTGCTCTCTGCAAGGGTGGCCACTAGCCACAGGCAGCTGTTTAAATTAATTGACGTTAAATAAAAGTTCAGTTTTTGTCACCCGATAATCACATTTTAAGTGCTCAGTATAGCCACCTGTGGCTGCAGCATTGGGACAGCATCCATGTGGACTATTTCTGTCCTGCAGTTGGTCCAGGGGGTAACGCCAGCCTGGGACACACAATGGCTGTACCTTTCAGGAACGTGCAAGGTGCCTCCTTGTCCCCGACCACCTTAACCAAGTCTCCCCCCACACACTTGCCCCCTTTCCTGGGGGTGGTTAGACTTCAGGATGAGACAGTCCTGGATATGCAGTCATCGCAACGGTAGGAGCATATTCTAGGGGGAAACAAGCTTATACTTTCTAATAGTAGCTCATACATTGAATAAAGGTAGCAAGTGATTAGGTAATTATAATAATAGCAGCTATTTTTGCTGCGTACCTGCTGTGTTCTAGGGTTTTGTTCTTAAATGCTTTACAGTATTAACCCTTTTAATCCTGAAAATTAAACCCCATGAGGGATGGCACGATATTATCCCCATGCTTTTAGTGGAGGAAACTGAGGCACAGAGCAGTTACATAACTCGGCCCAAGGTCACACTCAGCTGATAAGTGGGTGAGCCAGTATGGGAGCCTGGGCCGTGCAACTTCAACTGCCTCTCATCTCTCCAAACTATCCAGAACGTTCCCCCCTATGAGGGGACTAGCAACCTGGTCAAAAACCTATAGAAGACATGCTAAATAGATGTTCAGGTGCTGATGGTCAATATCAGCAGATGTAAAAATAAAACAACTTCTCAAAAGAAAGTCGTGGTACTTTAGGCTGTTTTGGGGGGGTGGTAGCTAAGCTGCTAGATCAGGAGCTGGCAAACGAGGGCCCTCAGGCTACGTCAGGCCTGCTGTCTGTTTTGTAAATAAAGTTTTATTGGAACGTAGCCAGGCATGTTTGCTTATGTGTCGTCTGTGGCTGCTTCCTCATTGTACTTGCCGAGCTGAGTACCGGAGGTCACCTGACCCACAAAAGCTGAAACATTTATTTCTGGCCCTTTACAGAAAAGGTGTGCTGACCCTGTGATAGATTTATTCTCCAAGCATTGCCAAATAATGAGCCTCTTCTGTCACCAGTAGTGTATTTTTGAACTTGAGGAATGACCCTGAATTGTCAAAGGGGCTGAATAATTCACTGTTTTTGTTGCTATTCATTGTAAGTGTGTATAGCCTCTGCTGGGTGTCAAGCCCACCTGAATTTCCACTGGCACTAAAACTTGCATTTCCCCGAACTTCGCGTGTCCCCGTTTCCATGGCCAGGCTTTGCACTTCATGTGTGTAGCTTCTGGAAGGTCCCGGGGTCCATCCACCCTCACGTGTCCGTCTGTACCTGCCCTCGTCAGGGGATGTGCACACAAAACATTCACTTCGTGATGCTCTCACTTTAAAACCATGGTAAAGTGAGCAAAAATAGGAAGTAAGTATTAAAATTCAACATGCTGCATATGTTATATCCCATTATGAAGTTAGAATAAATTAAATTTCTCCAAAACTTGTCTGCCAGACATTTTTAAAATAACTTTCCCCCCCCTGATTATGAAAGTTATATATGCAGAAAGTGTGGAAGGGCCTACCCACAAGACTGAGAGTCTCCTCCACAAAACCCCACCACGCAGAGGCAGCCGCTGTTAATATTGGACTATAATAAATTACCTTGAAGAAGATTCTGACATGCATAAGTTTTTCTTTTGCTTTATTTTTATGTCATTGAAAATTTATTAGTAAATACTGTTTTTCAGTGCTGTGTAATAATTCATCATATGAATGTACCGTGATTTACTAAATACTTTCCTTTTCACTGGGCATTTAGGTGGTTTCCAACTGTTTGCTATTATCAATAAAACATAATGACTGCCTTTGTTCTTGAACCTCTGTCTGCTTCCTGAGTGTTTCGTTAGGATCAGACTCTCATAAGTACAATTGACTGAATTAACAACTGTGAACATTTTTAAATTTCTCAGATGTGCCACTCCCACCCCCCTAAAAAAAAGTCATATCATCTCTGATTTAACTCCCTGAGCCCAAAGAAGACTGCACTAGTTCATGGAATTCTAAAACAGGGACTTTTTTTTTTTTTTAAAGATTTTTATTGGGGAATTGGGGGGATGGGAACAGCGCTGGGGAATTGGGGGAAGGGGAACAGACAAGTTGCTGTCACTCTGCTCTTCAGTCTAGTTGTGGAGGACGTTGCTTCACTGACCCAAGTTGGCACCATCATTGTGCTCTTCCCGGGCGAGGCAGATCAGTCGCCGGCTTCTGGACGGCCGCTCACGGCGCTGCTGGCCGCTCACGCTGGCTGCTGGTACACAAAGCGGTAGCCCATGGCAACCCACTGCAGCAGGGGCTGCAGCCTACGCCGTCGCCGGCGACTCATGGCAGCCCAGCTCCAGGTTGAGCTGTTGTTCAGCATCTTAGCTGTAGAGGGCAGTGTCACTGGCCCTCATATGTGGGATCCGAACCGGGGCCCTCTGGCATCCCAAGCCAGTTCTTAACCATCGCGCCACTCGGCCGGCCCCTTCCTATATATTTTCAAGCAGAGTTTTGAAACTCAAATGGGCGTAAGAGTTACCTTACAGGATGGACAGCTCGGGGCCTGGACACCTGCCGTCCTCTCCCCAGGATGTCCTTCCCCTGTGGCTCCTTGTCTTCATGCAGGTCCCACACATGCAGGCCTGTCCTCTAAGAGAGGCCTGGGCGACACCCAGGTCACCTGCCGTCCCCTCCCCCGGCTTCCTTCCCTGGAGAGTGCCTGTGGCTGCCTGGAACTCTGTATTTACTTGTCTGTTGCCTGCCTCTGTTTCATCTGCTCTGTCCATTGTCTTACCTCGTTCACGTTATTGTGTCTGAGTAAGTTCTAGCCTTAGGGCTACAGGCATACGGGGCTGTAGATAGTGTCCCAGTGGCTTGCGTCACAGCATGTCTTTATCTCCATCCGCTGCGCTTGGCTATGAGGATAATCAGCTTTGAGGCCCTGGAGGAGAACCTTGAGAAGGAACCCGACCTCAGGAGGTGGTGTGGGTATGGCTTGTTCTTTGTTTGTTTCATTGGTTGTGTGTCTGATTCTGAACCCCAGGCCGCTGCTGACACAAGCTGGTGGCACCTCATTTGTTCTCAGCTGCCAGCCCCTTCCAGTGTCACAGAGCAGCAGTGCAGGGTCCCTGCAAAGCTAGAGAGCCTAGTGGGTGCCCAAATTCGCCTGTGTCTCAACGGTTAACGCCGTTCAGTAAAACACCTGACTTCGTTGGGCACAGGGACGTGAAACTCGGGGGTCACACATTAGCCCCAGACCTGCTTACCTGTGGTGTGGACAGCACTGTTGTTACAAAGCATTAGTGATTCTGTTTTGTGGGGAATGTTACTCTATGGACGTGCAGTCTGTTACTCGTTAAGCACCGCTTACAGCAGACTTGAAGATGGCCGGCGGGCCGGTCACACATGGTCATGCAGACAGAATCCCTTCTCTCCTTTCTCCAGGTCCAGCACGTACCATCCCAAGGGCTTTGATGTCACAGTGAAGTACACGCAGGGGAGCTGGACCGGCCTGGTGGGGGAGGACCTTATCACCATCCCAAAAGGCTTCAACAGATCTTTTGTGGTCAACGTCGCCACTATCTTTGAGTCAGAGAACTTCTTTCTGCCTGGGATTAAGTGGAATGGGATACTTGGACTTGCTTACGCTGCCCTGGCCAAGGTAGGAATAACCCAGGATCCAAGTAAATGGAGGGATGGGAGGAGATTCTAAAAAGTCTATCCTTTGCGGGGCCGATGAATGGGCCATCAGTGAGAATCATGTGGTTGAAACAGTGGTCACACAATTAATGAAATTTCTAAGCATTTTAAAAATTAAAGGTAAGTGGCACAATTCTTTGAACCTTCCTGCGACATATGGTAGATAGCATGACTTCTTTTTTGTTCGTCTCTTGTTTTTATTTATTTTACAAGTATAGTTTTAAAATATTAATAAGATCTGAATCACTTTGATTTTGGTATCTGTTGAGGAGTTTTTATTAGGACAGGATTAAAAAAAAACGCATTTATTAAATTCACACCTTTGCATGAAGACGCAGCCTGCGGGTGACACTGGAACCTCGGCAGGTGAGGTGCCCACCGCAGGCTGAGAGCCTCCTGCTGTCTTCCCGTGACTCCAGACCACCTCTGAGCAGACACCTGCAGCCAGAGCAGGGAGAGCCTGAACGCCCTGGGGGTTGCTGCGCCCTGGGGGTGGTGAGGCGCCCAGGAGAAAGGTTGGAACCTTGGCTCCCGTCAGCATCAGAATGTTCCCAAAATAGAGAAGGACGGAATTGAAAGTTCTGCAAATATTTGTCCTCGGGCCAGCCCAAAGGAAGTCCCGCAGGGATGCAGAGGAGGGAGGCAGGCGCGCCACAGCCTGGGGACGTTCTACCGGGAGGGGCGCCCGAGGCGGGTGGGTTAGACACTGCGTGTGGCCCCGACAGGTTTGCATACACGGGCAGAGCAGAAGGAGGCCACCCCTCCTGCCTGTCACCAGGCACCACACCTTGCCCTCTCGTTGTTCAGTGTCAGGCTTTGAGCCTGAGCTCAGTGGGAAACAAACCTGGTTTCGGGAGCAGCAGGCGAGGGGACAACAGAACCCGCATGGGTCCATGAGGATCCCAAAGGGACAGCCTGTCCTCTGTCCCTGTGAGGACATCTGCTCCAGCTCAAGTTTACTAGCAAATGGTGCAGGGAGCTGAGATTAGGGGCAGGCAGGTCCCCAACCCTGTGGCTTCTCAAGGGGAAAGAACAGCCCACGTGACACGAGGCTGAGAACATTGTAAGATGCCGATTAGCTCAGTCCTTGAGGCCCACTTTTTAAAGCCATGTCATGCCCATTTTAGAGCTGTGCAGACTCAGGGTCAGAGACGGTTCCCCCTCGCCCAGGACACAGAGCCCGGGAGCAGGGCTCAGTCCATCTGCAGAGCCCCGACAGGCTCTGGGGCCCTTCTCGTCTCGGTGAGTTTAACGTGGAATTTGCAGACTGGTAATAACTTACATTCCTAAACATGTTTTCACTGGCAGTGTGACCTTGGGCCAAACGTTTCATCTTCATGTGACTTTGAAATGAAAGCTGTGAGTAGGACTGTCTTTATGCTGATTATTTGAAGGTGATAGAGAAAAGCTAAATTATCTGGAATTAATAATATGTAGAACTTCCTTTGAGAATAAAGTACTTTGGGGTTCTTTTGGGGTGTCCAGACTCCTCATGTGACCTTTTATCTTTTCGTCTGCAAAATTCCAAGATGACCAACATCTGGCTCCGTGTCCCGGGGTTGAGGGGACAGTGACAGGATGTATAGAAAGCACGGCTGGAAAGCGGACAGGCAGGGTGGCCTGGGTGGCTGGACACAGGGGCTCCTGATAGGTTGACCAAGCACTCAGGGGTGGTGATAGTGTGTGGCAGTCCCTACCTGGTCCCAGACGCTCCTCCAAGGCTGTGGGTCAGAACCACCCACACTGCAGGTGTCGGGGCCAGGTGTGCTTTCAGACCTCTAGAGGGACTCTGGGGCACAGTGCTACTGCAGAAGGACTTGACAGAATAATAACAGATCCCTTACAGTGTGTCAGGCACTCCTCCAAGCCCTTCATGGGATACCAACCCATTTAAGCCCCAGACCAGCCCTAGGAGCCGATTATTAACTCCATTTTACAGATAAGGAAACAAAGGAGCAAGTCACACGGTTGGCAAGTGGTGGAGCGAGGATTCAATTCCGGGCAGTGTTTACTTTGCTGCCTCCCGGGGAGCTGGACAGAAGAAAAACAGCAGACTGGGTCAACACCAGACCCGGCCCATTTCGAGAGACGCCTTCGTCTCAGCCATCACCCAAACACAAAGCGCATGACAAAGATGACATAGAGAGGTCACGCCGGATTGCCAGAGACTGCATAGAAGCTGAGGAGGAAGCAAAAACGAATGAACTGAAATGGGAAGACTTACCCTCATTGGATAATGGGGCTCCCCGTCCCTCCCTCATAGTTCTCACAGATGATAAATGGCCGTGCTTCGGCTAACCATCGCTGGTGGGAATGTGCCTCTGGCATCTGTGCCGCTACCATTAAGTTTTCATCCAGAACGAACACCCTATACGTGACTAACCCTAATATCTCCCAGTTGCCAAAGCCAAAGCTGAAACGCAAGCCTAGAACCCCCCTTTCTAACCACCGGCACCGGTGGTCCACCCCCACGTCAGAACCATTTGCAGACCGTCCCGCTTCCTTTTGAGTCCTGGAGAAACGGGGGCTGCCCCTGAATGTGTGGCTGCATGTAAGGACACGCAGAGTGAATTAGGCCTACTCCCATATGGCGGTGGGCAAGGCTGCAGCTTTCCAGCCCCGGGAGCATAGCAGTGTCCTTCGCTGCTACTTTCCTGCTCCCCACGGGTCAGTACACAGCTGGCAGAGCTAAGCCGCATCCACGGTCTGGGCCTGGGGTGACCTGTCCCCGTAGGTCAGGCACCTCTCATTTTTGTGATGGACAACTGTGGCTGAAAGAGGTGAATAAGCTTTTTCTGAGGCTGCAAAGGCAGCTCGTGGGGACCCTGTCCTCTCCTTGCTCTAAAACGTCTCAGGTTAGAGCCCTTCACATACCTTGGTGACCCACTTCCACAGGTTCCCGTGCCCGCCTTACTAGGCAGTCATGATAGATGTGACAGTGTCCTAATAGGTTCCAGAAATACTATCTGATTTTTACAACACAGCCGTACCGAAAGGAGAAACACGCGGGGGTAGCAAGTCCTGTTGGAATCAGTGTACTGAGTCATAAGCTTGTTTATTGTTTAGTCTCGAAAAAAATTAACTAGAAAGAAAAATGATATTGTGTACCATGCCTGCTGTCCCCTACATTGTGTCACTCGCCATCTAGACTACGAGTTGTGAAGCGTTGTCCCTTGTCATCCTTCTGCAGCCATCAAGCTCTCTGGAGACGTTCTTTGATTCGCTCGTGACGCAAGCAGAAATCCCCAACGTTTTCTCCATGCAGATGTGTGGGGCTGGGATGCCCGTGGCCGGATCTGGTACCAACGGAGGTAGTCTTGTGGGTATCTTAGTGTCGTAAAGAGGCGAAAAATCCCAAATCGCTGGAACTCTTCTTTCTGTCTTATGCAACTATTAGGCATATAGGTGTACTGGAAATTTTGGGGAATCCTTATTATGGAATCTATTAATAATGGATAAAACTAGGTATGATGTTTATCTTTCCTAATCATCCTGCCATCCGAACGATGATTCTCGTCACTTCCCCCAAATTCCATTCAAGCATTTGAAGTTTTTCCTCTAAGAGGTGACTAACTGGTTTTGGTGGGTGAGGGAAACAGTGTTTTGAGAAACAGTGAGGGGTGTAGCCGATGGGCCTTACTGTGGGCAAGGGGGTTAGCGGGGTGCCTGTGACCTCATAAGTTTGATGGGGAGACAGGACACCTCTCTCTGAACACACACACACACACACACAGACACACAGCACAGAATTGTTTTTTTGTTTGTTTGTTTTTTTTTAAAGATTTTATTGGGGAATTGGGGGAGGGAACAGCATTGGGGCATCAGGGAAGGGGAACAGACAAGTTGCTGTCCTTTTGTTCTTCAGTCTAGTTGTGGAGGATGTCGCTTCACTGGCCCATGTTGGTATTATCATTGTGCTCTTCCCGGGTGAGGCAGTCGCTTGCCGGCCATTGGACGGCCACCCACGGTGGCTCATGGCAGCTCACGAAAGCTCATGCCCGCTGCCGGCCAGCCCCACTGCAGCCTACCCCGTCACTGGCGACTCACAGCAGCCCAGCTCCAGGTCGAGCTGTTGTTCACCATCTTAGCTGTGGAGGGCGCAGCATCACTGGCCCTCATGTGGGATCCGAACCCAGGCCCTGCTGCTCAGAGCTGGCGTCCCAAGCCAACTCCTAAGCAATGCGCCACTTGGCCAGCCCAGCACAAAATTGTTTTTAACGAGACAGAATCAAGGCCGTCAGCACTGTAGGTGTGCTCTAGCCCAAGCATCTCCGAGATGGACCCTGCACCCGATGCCTAATGCAGGAGGTGACAGGGAGAAGGCACCAGGGGTCTTTCTCTGGGTGGGTGCTGCCCACACCTTGGCTCTCCAATTATGAGAAGCAGGATCAGCTGCTCTCATTCGCTAACAGTGCACCTGCTCTTACCACCTTTTTTACCCTCTTTTCAGGGGACAGGGTAGCCCAGGATCTGTAATGTTATGTAGTTTAGCAAAATGAAGTTTTGGTTAGGGGACTTGTTTTGTTCTGCTTTCTGTGTGCAGGTGTGTGGGGTCATCCACTGTCTTCTGAGGAACTAAATTATTTGTCCATCTACTTTACAGTAGATTGGTTAACTATTTTATTGTGTTTCCTTGGGGGAGAAATCTCAACATTGTGAAGCTGGAAATGTGTGCACTTCCTTTAGATTAAGGAAAGTGCCGAAGTGTCTTGATTAGACTGGAGCAGGATACTGTTTGACCTTTGGATACAGAGGTCAAATTGTTCCCTGTTGCATTTTCAACTACATAAATTTGTAACATCACAACTAAGTGAAAGTACCGATCCCAGGGAAGTTTCGCCTTACGAGTGGCTGCTGCTCTGTGTAATGTGTTACGTGCCTGTGAATATTTTTTTCCTCATACCTGTGAATATTTTCCTTCTCAGGTCCTGGGTGGAATTGAACCAAGTTTGTACAAAGGAGACATCTGGTATACCCCTATTAAGGAGGAGTGGTATTATCAGATAGAAATCCTGAAATTGGAAATCGGAGGCCAGAGTCTGAATCTGGACTGCAGAGAGGTACCTACACTGTGCACTCTTTGAACCAGCCTGTCTGTGTGTGGCTGGGTCACCTACCTGTTACAGCTGGGACCTGAATATGAAATCGGAAGGTACAAGATAAATCAAGGATTCATGACATTAAAAGTTACAGGGCCTTTTTGTATGAAAGTTTAAATAAATGACCCCTCCTCTAAGAAAAAAAAAAAAAGGCGTCTTTACCAGCGCTTGGCTTATGAGGGGGAAATTAGCATAAAGTGGTGGTGAGGAGATCTACCTAGAGCCACACCTTTCCCCAGGCACCTTGGCCTCATGGTGCCTAACCTGTCAAAGAGGATGCAGTACACAGGTGAGGGGGCAGAGAGGGACTAAAACATACGCAAAATGCAGCCACACATAAATCATTGGCTCTGTCCTCCGTTCGCAGCCAGCCCCTTGCCCCCAGTACACAATTCTCACTCGGAGGAAAGTGCCTCTCTAATGATGCGTATAGCCCGAGAGTGCTCCAACGAGGCAGATGCACAGCGCTGTGCGGCCGGCTCTCTTCCTAACCTTGTCACACCCACTCACTCATTTTGGCTTATTTGTGGCACATAATGGCATTGCGATTACAATGACTTGAGGGAGCCTCAGTCTGCTGCAACATTTTTAGAATGGTTTATAAAAACCACCAGCATTTCCATTGTATTTCTTCTTCATACCTCCAACCTATTCGTCACTTGCTTTCACATTCACCGTCCAAGTCCACCACAAATTCTCATGTACACAGACACCCCTGAGAAACCCAGGAAAACTTGCTAAATGATGGTCCATTCCATCGTGACAGTGCTTCAACGCTAAGTCTACAAATCTGTGTATTGTCAAAAGGTACTTGTTTGCTATTAAAGAATCCAGTGGTAGAATCAGAGGGCCTAAAATAAAATCCAAACTCTGTGCTATGCACGCGCATGTGTGTGTGTGTGTGTGTGTGAGTGTGAGAAGGGGGGGAGGTTCTCTTTTTCCATTGGAAGCATAACAGTCAGTTGATTTTGTGTGATTTCTGTAAATGCTTTTTAATATGTCATTTCAGCCTCTGCAGACACGTGGCTCTTCCCTCTGCCTGTGGGGGCTCCCTGAGGGGGGCATTTGGGCGTCTCTGTATAAGGGACAAGCTCTGCATTGGGAGGGCTCTTGGTTTTGGTCATGTCACTTCCCTTTTCTGGCCTCAGTTTCTTTATCTGTGAAAAGAGAGTGTTGGGCTAGGAGATCTTTGGTTCCCAAGTTCTGGGAATATGAAATTACTTGTAGCCGCTAAGGAGGTCGGGTGGCTGCCTGCGTTTGTATGTAACAGATATGCAGTGACAGAGGGCTGGAGCCATGTGTTGCTGTGAGCTGCCGCGTCCCTCATGTGCCTCTCCCCACCCCTCCCCTCTTCTAGTACAATGCGGACAAGGCCATCGTGGACAGCGGCACCACACTGCTGCGCCTGCCCCTGAAGGTATTCAATGCAGTGGTGGAAGCCGTGGCCAGCACGTCTCTGGTGAGTTCTCAGGACACTGATGCAGCTCAGAGGGCACGGCCCGTGCTGGGCAGTGTTACCATGGATTCTAGTTGCCTCCATCGGGGGATTTGGAAGGGTTGTTTGTTTTTAAAACTATCAAGTAAGTTCATGATCTTATTCTTTACTGTTAACCAGCACATAATTCCTTCATTTGAACCTGAGAGCACTTGGATCTAAAGGTGAAGTGCTTTTTCATATTTCAAATAATAGTGTAGTTGGGGTAGTACTTTCTATTTTTTAGAAATTTTATTGGGGAATAGTGTGTTTTTCCAGGACCCATCAGCTCCAAGTCAAGTAGTTGTCTCCAACCTAAGTCAAGTAGTTGTCTCCAACCTAGTTGTGGAGGGTGCAGCTCAGTGGCCCATGTGGGAGTCAAACCGGCAACCTTGGTGTTATGAGCCTGCGCTCTAGCCAACTGAGCTAACTGGCCGCCCCCAGTAGTACTTTTTTTTATTCTAAGAACAAAAACACTTGGTAATATACTACACTGAAGTAAATAGTAAACCAGGGATATGTTTGTAGCCTTTAAAACTAAACACATAAACTCAAACTTGTACATCCTTTCTGGCCTTCATTCAAGCCGTGTTGGGATTGTGATTCTCCCATAAAATAATGTGACTCACAGAGCACAAGGGCCCATCAGCCAAATGGGTAATTATCGCTCGGCCGGGCTCTGAAACGCAAGTGACTCGCGGTCAAGGGCAGTATGCCCTTCGTGGACCTGGCTGACGGTATTCCCGGTGTGATCCCAACTTTCCAATTTGGGACAACAGAGTGGACCAAACGTCACTGATGGGAAAGAACATAACTTGGGGGTCAGGTGGAACTGAGTCTCGTCTAGTCTCAGGCGCTTACTAGCTGAGTGCCTTGGGAAGGGACCCGTGCCCCCCGACAGCCTCCACATTCTCTCTGCGGGGTTGTTGTGAGGTTTGGGGTCAAGGGTCCAGCACATAGGTTCTCGGTAAAGAGACGCTTCTGATAACGTCCAAAGCACAAGGCCGCTGCTGTTTGTTTGTACGTGAGATAAACATTTCCCTCATCTTCTTGGGTGTGTTTACAAGCATCTGTCCACGCAGTGCCACCTTTGCAAAGTCACTAAACATGAGTGTTTCCTGGACAGTCTTGATGCTGGGACTAACTCGGGCCAATTATCTCTGTTGGGATGGCCGGATTCAAAGAACCATTGACAGGAACATGTATGTCAGTTGCTTTATTCCAGGTGATAGCAGAAACCTGGGAAGGGAGGCACGGCTTTTGGTTGCCTTGAACCAAAACTTCAAAAGTCTAAAACCGCTGTGGAAAGAGCAGCAAATGAAAAGAACACCGAGGGGAAATAAAAAAGAAAGAACCCCGAGGCCCTTTTGGAATTGAAAGCTCTTCAGGGCAGCAGCCCAGAGCAGTCCAATATCTGCTGAATCCGGGAAAAAAAAAAAAAGTGGCAGGTGAAGGTTTTAGTGCCTTCAATTTAGAACGCTAGCTGCAAATCAGACTCCTTGAAATATGGAGCGATCTGCCGATTTTCCTCAATAGTGAAAATGCCCTCAGCAGAGTCACCAGGCGCGTGCTCACGTGTATGCTCTGAGCTATAAATGCTCTCCCGCCGTCCCGAGGAAACGCTTGCAGCATCCGCGTGTGACTCCAGCAAGCCCTGAAGTCAGCCCTTCTCCCGAGCTGAGCCGTGAGAACGCGGGGCTGTGGCGGCCAGGCGTTGGCATCCTGAGGTCATCCCATCAGGTGGTCAGCGGTGACTGACTGTAGGAAACCCACGAGGTAGAAGGGTAGGAATGACTAACTCTGTTTGAAATGATCCTGTGATTTTGGCGCCTGCGTCAAGAAGGAGAAACCTGAGAAGGCTGTGTGTCTGGGGGCGGGGAAAGCTGGGGGGGGAGGGGCCGGCGCCGTCTGTCTTACTGTGTGTGCACCAAAGAAGCGTTTGTTCTTTCTATCTGCTGGGTTTATCTAAGCCGCTCTCTCTTGGTGCGGGTTCTTTTGCTGGTTAAGGAAGGGCGGGAGGGCTTGGGAGAGTTACAGTACAGATAGATGTTGGGCTCTGGCTCCGGGAGATGAGATTTTACAAATGAATGGTTTGTAGGTGTGTATTTTGAAATGGGGGGGGGGGGGTATGGTAGACACCTGGGCTCCATTCCTGCCCAGGTGGCTTGAACCCTGGCTTCTGCAACTCTAAAATACAGAAGCAGGATGACCCCATGTTCATGTAACTCCTGACTTAAAAGCTCTGTGACCTGAGGTCGAAACTGTCCCCTAAGGACAGGTGTCTTAGCCCCTGAACGCCTCTCAGACTCCTCTTTGGAGGCAGGTGGTCTCACCTAGGTCTGGGCCATGCCCCTTGGGTGAGGTACTCGGTCGCTCTCAGCCTCATTCTTTATGGCAGTTGGACCTTCGCGCTGCCATCGGAGCTCTGTGCCCAGGGGCAGGCCCAGCCACCCTGAGCGCTTCGGAACCCAGCAAAATGACCACCCCACCTCTTAGCAACCCATCGGACAAGAGGTTCTTCCCTAGGATACATATTTCAAATCGACTTCACTTTTATAAAAGGAAAAACATATATTAACGCCAGCTTTAGAAATGTTACAGATCAATCACTCCCAGTCTGGGGCGAGAACCTGCAGTAGATGAAGAGAGCACAGGGGATTTTCTCCCATTGTCACCCCCGGGGGGGAGCGGGCACCCGTATGTGTGGTTGTGTCTCGCTCACTCGGCAGTGACCCCGCGGTCTTCTCAGTTCTGCCTCGCTGCATCTCTGCAGCACCCCTGCTTACCTGGCTCTGCTTCCATCACACCCACCTCCCTGCACCTCTTCCCTTCGTGGGGGGCTGGCCCATTTCTCTGGGTGGGTCCTAGGCCCCTCTGCTCCCTAAGCAATCCCACCCGCCCGTCTGTGACTCTGGAAATGGCTGTCTATCCTTGGCCTGGAGAATAAGGGACCGACACTAATCCCACCTGGATGCCTCCGTGACACCCGACCTGCCACAGGGCTCAGATCTCTGATAAATGGTTTCTGATAAACGCACAAAGGTGAGCCTGGTTCCCTCCCAGCCTGTCTCAGGCCCCTTCCTGTCCTCTGGGCCAGCCGCCATGGCTGTCATCCGTGTGGGACAGTGGGGTGGGTCCCATGCTCTGCCCGCCCTCCCCCACCATGCCTCACTGACGCCCAGCTGCCCCTCAACTCTGCCCAGGGGTTTCTTCCTCAGGGACACGCCCTTGACAGCCCTCTTCCTCCCATCAGTAGCCTCCTAACTCTGTCCCCATCACATGCTCCTCCACCTGTCACCTGAGCAGGGCACTGAGCTGGATGTGTTAGAAGAGCCGCCTCCAACACGGGGAACTGGCAGGCACGGGGCCAGCCTGCTTGGGCACCTTCACTGGGCCTGGGAATGATGGCACAGCCTGGGGAGGTGGCACGGCTGGAACTTGCAATTAACTTAAAGATTCAGCAGCCAGTGGCATGCGTGAGTGCTGTCATTTTTCCGGGCCGGTGATGAGAGGCTTAGGTGGGTGTTCTGTGTTCCTGCCTGTCCATATTTCCCAGAATTCCTTCCTGAGTCTCCCTGATGGGCTAAGTATTAGGACCACAGGCGGGTGCAGACAACGGGCCTCTGTCCTCAGGGGACTCAGATCCTAGTGCAGGAAACAAGTTAACCAAACACACCAAGAAATGTAAAACTGGACCTGCTACAAAGAGGGGAGACCCCCCAAGGAGGTACCAGCATTCTGGGGGGAAGTCAGGGAGGGCTTCCTGGATGAGGCATCATCGGAGCTGAGACCTGGAGGAGGAGAAAGATGTTTCAGAGGAGCGGAGAGCCCACACAGGGCTCTGCGCCAGAAGGAAACTTGCTGGGCGCAGGGAGTTCAGAGGAGAGTGATGCCACAAAAGGCCTTGAGCGTCATATTTAGGATCAGGCCTTTCTTCTAAAGAGTCATTGCCAGCTGCTGTGTGACCTTGAGCAAGTTGCTTCACCTCTCTGTGTTTTGGGTTCCTCATTCATTAACTAGAGAGGATAATGTTACTGCACTGATGATGGTGGTGGTTGAGGATTAAAGCAATTATTGCTGCAAAACACTTGTAATGGTGCCTAATGCTAGTAAGTACTCCACTGCCTCAGTAATTTTAATAGTTGTTTCTTTGTCATTGCCTGTTACTCTTCTAGAGGACTGATGTCTCGCTGAGCTGTCCAAATCAAACACCATTTCTCCCCGTGGGCATCTGGCGAGGTGACAGGGACAGCTCGGAGCCGGTTCCTGTTGAGGCACCAGACGAGTCATTGTATCTCCCATGATCTTGTTTTGTCTAGATTCCAGAATTCTCTGATGGTTTCTGGACCGGGTCCCAGCTGGCGTGCTGGACGAATTCCGAAACACCTTGGTCTTACTTCCCTAAGATCTCCATCTACCTGCGAGACGAGAACTCCAGCAGATCCTTCCGCATAACTATCCTGCCTCAGGTATGAAGGTGGACTTGTGCGTTTCTCTCTTTAACGTGTAGCCTGCGAAAGTAAAGCAGTTCGTGCGTGGGCGTGTGTTTAGATCTCACACAGGCATTCAATATCCATGATTAGGTATACAACAATGCTGCGTAACAAGCACCCAGGGAAGCCCGCGGCTTGAATCCATGCGCATTTCTTCCTGCTCGCGAGTCTGGGCAGCTCTGCTGACCTCACGGGCGGGCTCACTTGTGTCTGGTCAGCTGGTGGTTGGCTGGGTCTAGGTTGGCATCGGTCTAGGATGGTCTTCGAGGGTCTCGGTATCGGGTGGCTGGGTCGGTGGAGTGATAGGGCCAGTGGAGTGATGGGGTCACCGTCTCTCACCATGTGAGTCGGGCTGACTCACACAGTGGTGGCAGGGTTCTGAGAGAGAGAGAGAAGAAACACTGCGGGCTCCTGAGGTCTAGACCCAGAACCGGCCACACCGCTTGCACAGTGCGGACCAAACAAGGCCAAGGCCAGCCCAGGCTCCCGCGCAGGGAAGTAGACGCCATCTCCCGAGGGGAGGAGCTTCTAAGTCACATCATAAGGGCGTGGTTACAAGGAGAGGTAAAAAACTGAGGACATTTTTGCAACATCTACCAGGACAATAATATGTTTTTTTCCTGTTTATTTATAAATAAAAAAACTGGAGTCTCAGAGATGAAGACATTTTTTTCATATGCAATAAATCATTGATTCCTTCATCGTCCTAAGCATCTAATTACATAGACCAAGTTTTCTGTCTTAGTCACTCACGCTCTCACCTCCTCCCCACCCTCTGCTTCCTGCAGGCCTCACTCCTGTCACTCACATGCCCCATCCACCACTTCAGGAACCCCCCCAGAGTGCCCTCCAGGCAGCCCAAGACCCCACTCTGTTTTCCTTTTAAAACTGTTGCCAGAGGAATCTTCCTAAACCACAGCTTTCAACCCCACCATTTAAGTCCTGACGACCCCTTTTTTTCCGGTGTGGCTTTCGATGAATGAGCTCACTGGGCCCTTCCTCACTCTCCAAACTATTTCCTGCAACACCCTTGACCCTCCACTGGTGGGTACTTTGTCCCTGCTCCTGTCTCCTAACCTTTGCTTACACCCACCCTTCTCCCCTCCCCCACCGCCTGAAATGCCCCCTCATCCCCACTCCATCTGTGTATCCAAATTCTTCCCATCCTTTAAGACCCAACTCAAACAATCCGTCTTTTGTCAAACCTCAGCTGAGCAGAATAACCCATTTGTGAACTTGCCCTTCAAACTCATAATGCATGTTTTCTAGTTGACTCATCTGGCATGAGATCATATCTTTAGGGCGTGTTCTATGCCTGGCCTTCTTCCTTTGATTTCTGTTTTCTAAACACACACACATTTATATTTCTTTCTCAGTTGAATTATTAACTCCTTGAGATGAGAAGTGTGCTTTTTAAAGATTATACCCTTCCTTTCCTATCACTGCCACGGAGTCAAGGGTGGTGCCCGATAACTCTTTATTAAATGCAAAAGTCAGTGTGCCTCCATTGGAATCAGGTGAATTTGGGATAAAGGAGTGGGATTTGGGGGATAGGAAAAAAGGAATAATTTCAGAAGAAACCAGTAAATGATAATACTGCCTTCTCCCCATTTTCAACTTGACGTGGCAGTGGGGGTGCATTCCAGAAATGGGCAGTTGTTGGGGCAAAGATCAAAAGCACCCAGCCCAGCAGCGGACACGTTTGCTGAGAGCAAGAGGCTGGAGCCCCGATCTCAGCCCTGCCCCTGGCTCGCACTATAACCCGCAAATCACTTAGCCTTTTCTGTATCTGCCTCTTTAACTGCAAAGGAGAAATAATAATTCTTGCCAAAGATGTCTTCAGAAAACTGCAGTATCCTTAGATGAACGGCACTGCAAAGAGTGATGTGGGAATGATATGTCGTCTTCGGCATCCTTAAAAGAATGTGCTCTTTATGATTATTTCTTGGTCTGTCAAACAGCAAAATGTGGACATTATTTCATCAAGGTGGTTTATAACGAAAGTGGAAACCTGGCTTGAGGACAAAGGTGAACGTGTACTGGCAAGTGAATGGCATGTGGGCGGTTGGCAGAGTTCGGAGCTCAGAAGAAGCAGGAGAAAAAGCAGGTGTTTGGGGTAAAGCCTGTTACGTGCAGGGCAGCAACAGCCATCAAAGAGGGAGGGTCACTGGGGACCGCCACCTGCTGGGTGAGCGCGGGGACAGGTGAGGGGGCTTTGGGAAGAATTCAGTCTTATTGCCACTTATGAGACTGTGGATATTTTTTGGTTGACTTTGATGTGTTCACATTGTCGATGCTTAAAAACCTACTTTCCCACTATTGTCCTGATTTCTTACTCAACATCACCGTCCCACTTCCCACTGCCTTGATGGGAAGGACAGAGATAGGCAGCTGTGAACTGTCACCTGATGAGATCTTCACAAGCCCCAAATGCTGGTGACACACCCTTTAGGGACAGCACTAGGGTCACCTCTTACCACCTCAGAACTGGCTGCCCGGCCCCCTTCTTAATGTTTAGGGCTCTCAGCAGTTTTAGAACGGGGCCCCTCCATGGGACCTTTCGGGCACCAGCAGTAATAGATGGGCAAATGACTGCTAGTGCAGCAGAGTCGCGTCAAGGGCAGTTAGCCTAAATTTTGCCTATCCTCAACACTATTTTCCAAAAACACAGGGGCTGAATCCTATTTGGCCTGCTAAAAAAAACCAGTCCCCAGCCCACAGGCAAATTCTGATTTTTTTTTCCCTCTCACATAACACTATAAATGTAAATAGTTTCAGTCGAAATACCACTGGTTCATCTTTTCGTGTTATTTTTAGTTTAAGGCAGACAGTTTATTCTGAGATCCAACAGTACTGAACCTTTCCCAACATGTAACAAATTTACAGCCTGGAATTTTTATTGGAAGTCAACTGGGACACACACGGAGAGAAGAGAGTTAAAGATACAAATTCAATTTGCGTCGTATTTGCGTCATACTTCATCATTGTTTGGGTTTTATTATGGAATTAGTTCATTCAAAGGTAGATGTGTGTGTGTGTGTGTGTGTGTGTGTGTGTGTGTGTGTGTGTGTGTGTTTCGGGGGCAGCTAAGTGTACCCGCCGCCTTTTCCTAATTTAAGTCGATCCTCATGAGAAGTCGTCCATTTCATTTACCGCTGACTGAGCTCAGCCCCCCTCAATCATCCCACACACACTTATCGAGGCCTCCTGGGTGCCTAGCACTACCACATGCCTGGGCGCCAGGAACATAGCGAGGAACTGAATGACCCCTGGCTTTGAAGAAGGGTTTACGGACAGACAGACCGACCAGTGCAGGGTTATGGGTGCTGGAACTGTGCCCTGGACACAGCAGCGGCTTGACGGCTGGCAGGTGGTGACTCCAGGAGCTGCCATCGCTGTGTCCTTACTCACCTCCCTGCTGTGAAACTCCTCAGGCCTCCAGTCTTCTCTGCACATGAAAGGGCAGTGACGTCATCTTCCTCGGGGGGGTCGGTTTTATCACATACGTTTCTCCAGCACGACTTCTGGATTTCTTTTTCTGTTCAGAGTTTAAATACTGTGCTTGTGCTTCCCGTTTGTAATGACCAGCTCTTCGCCCTGCTGTGACAACTGTCAGTCTGCCTCCAGCCTGGCCCTCTCCTCCGTCACCGTATGGCAACACCCTGCCCCCAAACACACACACCACACACACACACACACACACACACACACACACACACACACACACACCACGCACGCACACAACATACATGCACACACACACACCACAGACGCACACACCACACACACACATCACACACATCACACACGCACGCACACAACATACACACACACACTCACACACACCACACCACACGCACGCACACACCACACACCACACACCACACACACACATCACACACACACAGCACACGCACACACCACACACACACACACACAACATGCACACACACATATACACACACACACCACACCATGCACACACACCACACACACTCACATACACCACACTCACACACCACACACACATACACACACACATACGTCTCCTTTCAGTCTTTGCTGCTCCCACCTAAGGCCCCAGACTGCCAATCTCAACTCACTCCTCCAAGTATTTCTTAATGCTTTTGACCTGCAGGACAAAGTCTTTCTTCTCACTCATTTTGTACTTTATAATTTTTTTCAAAACAGTAAATTGGGCGTTTTCTAAAACGAAGCCACTCTTCCCTTCCTTGACCTACATTTTAATACTTTGCCATTAAAAAAACAGAGGAGCTGTTACTACTGATATGATATTGATTTGCTTTTTAAGTTTTTTTTGTTTTGTTTTTAAAGAAATTTTATTGGGGAATAGTGTTTTTTTCTAGAACCCATCAGCTCCTAGTCAAGCAGTTGTTTCAATCTACTTGCAAAGGGCACAACTCAGTGGCCCATGTCGGGATTGAACCGGCAACCTTGGTGTTATGAGCGTGTGCTCTAACCACCTGAGCCAACCGGCCGCCCCTGCTCTGTAAGTTTTGAGTCAGTTGCCCACAGACGCTTGCCTCTAGGCCATCCCTAGGGTTTGTTTAACGCTGCGTGGCACCTGCAGGACACGACCCTCACACACGTCAGAGCTGCTGATCTGTTGATGCTGTGTCTTCTGATTGTGATGGCTTCTCCCTCTTGTACTGAGGAAATCATCCTACCTGTGTCATGTTGCCTACTTTTAAGTTCTCTTTGATAGAGGATGACATGATCACTTAGGAAAGATGGCATCCTGGAGGTGGGTAAGAACCTGCACTGCAGTGGCTCACGAGAGAAGAGGACGAGAATGGAACAGGGTGGTAGCGACAGGGATGGGAGACATGATAAAATTCAGATCAGTTTCAAAGGGCAGGCCTCCAGGCTCTAGTCACGGCTTCAGCGGAGGGTGAGAGATACTGACCCAGTGCCCTGGGCCTGAGGAAATGGCTGTATCACGGATTTACTGAGCCCCGCGAACCTTGAGATAAGAGCAGATTGGGGGCAATCTCCAAAGTTCAGTTTTTTTAAATGTTCTGTTTGAGATGCCAGCTGAGTGGTGTGTGGGCAGGTGGACAGAAGAGTGTGGCAGTGGCTTTGGAGATCTGGACTGCAGATAACGATGTAGGAGGCTCAGCACAGAGGATGCACGGAGGGCCTGGGGCTGCGCAGGTCACCTGGGACGGAATATAGAGAGGAGGTCCGAGTTCTGGAGTTCTGGGGTGCTGACAGGCGAGGAGGGTGAAGTGAATCTGGTACCCATGCCTGAGAGGGAGCAGCCCGGGAGGAAGAAGAGAGCTCTCTCAGAGGCCAAGGAAAGAGAGGGTTGCTGTTCGGCATTACTAGCAGATGGGGCCTGTTGGAGCACGTCCCACTCAGGCTTTACTTACCTGCCTCCCCCATGGACGGGGAGCTTCGACGGGACAGCAGCCATGTGCTATTCATCCTTGATGGCTGGTCCTGAGGACAGGATCTAGGCCATATTAAGTGCTGAATAAATAACCACTGGGCGGATGCTGGATGGGTGATGGACATCTTCGGTAGGGCAGGACCTGTGTACAGTTCCACGTGGTGTGCACGCTTCTACCATCTTCAGTAACGTTTCTCACCACGTTTATGCTCTCCACTCCTGGATGGTGGGGCTGGCATCTGCTTTCTCTGTAGCTCCCCCTAGCAGCTTGGAGGGTTCTGAGCACACGGTGGCCTCAGCAGTTGTGTGATGGTGCCTGATTCATGCTTCTCCTTGTTTGTTTCTCTTTTCTCCTAAACAGCTTTACATCCAGCCCATGATGGGGGCTGGCCTGAATTATGAATGTTACCGGTTCGGCATTTCGCCTTCCATGAATGCGCTGGTGATTGGTGCTACCGTGATGGAGGGCTTCTACGTGGTCTTTGACAGAGCTCGGAAGAGGGTGGGCTTCGCGGCAAGCCCTTGTGCAGGTAAGCGACTCTTGCATTGGGCAGGGAAACCAAACCAGAGTACTTTATGTCAATTAACCTACTTGGAAGCAGTTCTTGATAAGTCAGCTGCCGTTGAATTGTTTCACTAAGACCTATATGATCAGTGATCAAAGTCCTATCCATAAAAGGTACCGTGGGATTGCTGAGAGGAAAAAGTGAGATAATGCCCATAAAACTCTTAGTCCAGTGCTTGGCATATGGCAAATGCTTGATAAGTTGTTAGTCAGTATAGTTCCCTCTCATAATAAACTTGCAATAGCACCTCATCCCAGGACAGAAATACTCTGTGGGTCATGGGGATGAGCTACAGTTTTTGACAGTGGAATGGATAAAGAAGAAAATTTATAGATAAGCGGTGTATTTTTTTCCCCCTCAAATCCTCGCTATAAAATAAGAAGTAAATGCCTGTCATTGCTGTTTCTCAAACTCCCTAAAGTAGTGAGACCAAGGAGCCCATTTTTCTCATAGAATTCCTTTGAAGCAGTGGCATGAGGGTGACACAGCAGCATTAATCTGCAAAGTCTAGCTTGAGGCTTGGGCAGGTCTCCAGAGAAACCAGGCAAGCACATAAAGTAGGTAGGATGGTTAAACTCCTTGAACTTGCAAATGCCTTCAGACTTAACAGTTTGCTTGAAATGAAGTGTTCCCACTGCCCGTGGTTTGGTGGGAGGATCGGGTACTTCTGACTAATAGCCTGAGCTAGCGAGGGAAAAGGCAAGTCGTAGACTGAACCGCCAGAGACGTTGGAGAGAGGGGGTACCCCAGGAAGTGGCTGGAGGGCCACAGCGCCTCCAGATAGGATTGCAGACGACTGACTGGCCCCGGTGCAGTGATAAGGGTCAGCCACAGAATGAACGCTTGAGGTTGTGCTGGTCACGTGCTAGAAAGGAAGAGAACAATTAAGCAAACGCGAGGCAGAAGAAAGAGCCGAAGACAAGGAGGTGAACCAGAAGAAAACTGGGGGGTTACAGTGAAATACAAGGTCACTGTGCAGTGAAAGAAAGGAAATGTGAATTTGATGAAAGACACCCTGAACCTTAGATGCAGTTGTGGGACAGGCTGGGACGCTCGGTGACCAATGCTGGTAGCCTCAGCGCTGACCAGACCTTCACTCTGATCTAAAACCAACCAAAGCGTTCAGAGGAGCTGAAGATGTACAGGCAAAATGCAGATCATGGCTGGTTTATTCATAGGGGAGAGACTGATTATTTCTTACTGCCTAATTGTGGTCTTAAAATGGGACTCCTGGTAAATAAAGCAGGTAAGTGGGGCTTTGTCTCCTTGTTTCGACACCCTGCTATTCCTGCGGAGTGAAATACCGTTTTGGAGGACAGAGGAGAGAAATGTTAAAAGGAAAATTGACATCTGGAATATTAGGCCAGTTCATTATATAAATAAAGTCACCCAGCCCGAGGTACATATTTGATACGTTGCAGTATATCTTCTTAAATATCAGTGCAGACTTCCTTGGCCTGTATTCGTGAATGGGCTCAGCCGGAGTCCTGGGGCGTTACCTGGGGCTGTACAGCCTGAGGCACTGCCATATCTCCCAACCCAACGTTTTAATTTCTTTTAACCCAGAGAGTCTAAGAACTAAATCAATTTTCCCCACAATTCCTGTTCTCTGGTTAAATACCATCAAAGTAGAGGCTACTATGGCAACAGCCACTGCATCGTCCACTTTAGCTAATGCCGCAGAGAACATACATAATCGTCCTGTTTCCTACGTGAATTGCTGTTGGAAGCGGTTTAGTATTAAGCGTCTCTAGGCAGAGACGGTTTCCTGCATTTCATCATGAATTTTCTGTTAGGCTCTCTTATTTAAGTTTTTTGTTCCTGTTTTTTGAAACTATATTTAAGGTTTGGGTGCTTACGCATTAGGTTTTACCGGCGGGAATAGACACTGATGGGTTTCCTCTTCAGTGCAAATTGTTTAGCCATTCAAGTAATTACTTCCCTAAGGGCTGCAATTCCGAGCCAGGCAGTGGTCTACGGCACCATAATAAACGGAAGAGATACTCTGCCTTTTTTCTTTTTTCCAAAGTGTTTATTTTGAATTTACAACGTGTTTTCAATAACAAAGAAAATGTTTTAAAGTGCAGGAAATCATGTACTATGTACACACGAACACCAAGATTTAACAAATGCTAACATTTTGTCATATTTTCTTCAAAAATTTGTTGTAGAAATAAAAAATAAGCGTAGCTAAAGCCCCACTTCAACCTGTTCCCTACGGTTAGCCTTTATCCTGAAATTGGTGTGTATTCTTCTCATAATTACTGCACCTTTATAATTTCACCACGTCGTTATAAGTACCCTGGATTAGTTTAAATAGCTATGGAACAGTTTACCCCAAATTCAGCAGCACTTCACGACCTGTGCGGCTGCCGAGGGTCAGGAATGGAGGAGTGGCTTAGCTGGGTGGCTCTGGGTGGCTTAGCTCTCATGAGCCTGCAGCCATCTGAAGGCTGGAAGGTCTGCTTTCAGGTTGTCACATGGTTGTCAGGAGCCCCCCATTCCTTGTCATATGGACCTGGCCACAGGCCTGTCTGAATGTCCCCAAATGGGAACCTGCTCACCCCAAAGCAAGTGATCCCAGAGAGAGAGAGAGAGAGAGAGAGAGAGAGAGAGAGAGAGAGAGAGAGTGGTCGATGGGGGAGGGGAATGCACGAGGAAGCTGGATCCTTGAGGGGTCATCTTAGAAGCCCACCACCATACCCCCATTAATAAGTACTTATACCAAAACACACGTCAGTTGGTTTGGGTTTCTTTGGTAGTTCTCAATTTATACGAATGCTTTTGTACAGTGCGTATATCCTTTGTCAACTTGCTTTTATAGCGCACCACCACATTTTCTAGGTTTTCCATGTAATGATTACTCGATCGTTCTTTTTGAGTTCTGTATGGTATTCCATTGCACAAATATACCCTGATTATTTACCCAATCCCACCTTGATTCACATTTTGGTTGTTTCCAATTGCAATTATAAGCCGTACTGCAGTGAACATCTTTGTGCATGTGAATGAGCTGTTCTGGAAACGGAATTTCTAGACGGTTTGGTGTGCCAGTCTTCCGTGTTACTGCCCGTTGTCAGATTTGTCTACAAAGTAGCTGGACCACCAGAATTAAACCAGAATCTCCACTCCCTCAAAGTATTATCACAGTTGCTTTGTTTTTATTCTTTGCCAACCTGTGTGTGTGAAATAGTATCACATTTCAATTGATTTCCTGAGATGACTTAGCTTTTGATATGTTTATGGGATGTTTGAGCTTTGCCTCTGATGGTGAATCTTTCTATTAACAACCTTTGCATGTTTTTCTCCTTATCTTTTTTACAGATATATATGAGATATTTATATATTTGAGATATTAATTTTTCTGGGTTATGTGCATGGCAAATATCTTCTAATCTCTCTGTTTATTTTACTGGTTTTGGTGTCTTTTATTTGCATTTTCTCTTAAATTTAGTCAAATAAAATTTACTGATCTTCCTTGTGGCTTTCACTCTGCACTTATTTAAGAAAGTCTTCCTTAATCTAAGAAAATAGAGTTGTTGTTTTTAAGATACTATATACTTAAAAAAATTTTTTTCTTCAAAAATGTGAACACTAATTCTTAGGATAGTCCATTTTCTCAGCATCATTTATTGAAGAGTTTCCCTTCTGATTCTTCTCAATATTTTATTTTGAAAAATTTTAATATACAGAAAAGACTAAAGAAGATACACTAATGTCCTGCATAACAACCAACTAGATTTAATAATTTTTAACCTTTGTCATATGTCAGTGTATGTATATTTGTGTATATGTAGTTTTTGCTGAACTATTTACAGATAAGTTGCAGATATCATGATATTTCAATCCTAAATATTTCATTGTGTATCTCTTTAGACTAAGGACATTCTCTCACATAACCATAACACTATAATGACACCTAAAAATTAACAATGTTTAACTGATATCATGTAATATATTTTATTTTTAAGGCCAGTTGTTTTATAGAACGTATCGTATTCAGATTTGTCTGAGTATTTCCTAATGGTAGCAGTTAACGTGTTCGTGTAACCTCATACTTCCTTAAACTTGAACTTTGTTCTAGAGGCTTGATTAGCTTCAGGTTAATTCTTTTTTGCAAGGTATCTGCTGAATTTAGTAGGATCTTTGTCATGTACCAAGACCCTAGTGTGTATCTGGGTCTACTTCTGAGCGTTCTCTTTGTTCCATTAGTGTAGTTGTCCATCCTTCTGCTACAGCATATGGTTTTAATTTCTCTAGTTGTGGTAAGACGTGATATCTGGCAAGGGCTTGCTCTTCTCATATTCTTCTTTAAAACGGTCCTAGGTAGTTTTGTCCTTTTATCGAGCTTGTCAAGATCCCTGAAGAACCCTATTGGGATCTTGATTAGAACAGCATTACATTTCTAGATTAACTTGAGAAGAAATTAAATCTTTTTTTTTTTTTTAAGATTTTTATTGGGGAATTGGGGGGATAAGAACAGTGCTGGGGAATTGGGGGGAGGGGAACAGATAAGTTGCTGTTGTTTTGTTCTTCAGTCTAGTTGTGGAGGACGTTGCTTCACTGGCCCAAGTTGGTACCATCATTGCGCTCTTCCCGGGCGAGGCA